TTTTTACCTGTAGAATATGCTATTGATTTAACGAAAAATATGGTTCATAATTAAAGACGTTGGAATTTGGAAGGTTATATTAGGTTTAGAAATATGGATACCACATATAAATACATATGTGTATTTTAGAAAGAAAAATAAATAAGAGTAAATAGAATAATCTAATGAATTCCATTTTAGTAAATAAAAGTAATACATAAATATTATATATAATCCGAAAAATTGTATGTTTTTAGGTAAACTTGTGTTGATAACATTTAGTGACCTTACATTTTTGGGAACGTATTGAAAAATCGAAATTCGATGTTACTCGATTTTTGTAAACATTTATCTGATTTTTTATAGATGTCTGATAGCTGGTAATATAAGCAAAAAAGTTTTTCTACGTAAAGAAATAAAATTTGTTCGATTTTGATTAACCTGAATTTAAAAATCATTCAAAATATTTGGAAAAAAACTTGTGTAGAGGTCTAAATTTTTCATAGAATGAGCAATTTGCGTTGATTGAGTAATAATCGAATTAGTAAAAGCATAATATAATAGAAATTTATACTAGATAATGGGGAAACAATGATTTTAATTAGTAGAATTACCAGTTAAAGAAGCGAATTTCGAAATAGAAATGGAAAATGAGAAGATGAGAATAGCTGTTAGAGCGAAATTATCTGCGGAACACTATATTGACTCAAGACTAACAAAGACCTCTCAGCCTCTAAAATTCTATTTTACAAGTTTCTGCCATTTCCCTGTAAACATAAGGTGCATGATCTATGAGAAGATCTAAAAATAACAACGAAGCAAATACAATCATGCATTGAATTACACTACACTTTTTTCTTTAGAAATAAACATTATTTGGCATATAAGAAACGTAATAAGATATCTGCTTCTGTAAAATAAAATAATTGCAAAAGTGCAAGGTATATAACTTTGTTTTTTTTTAAGTGAACACGTTACATAAACTATAAATATATTATTCTACACTGTAAATATCAATAATCGTGTTTTTCAAAAGATATTTCTTTAAATTCAGAAAGAATATAATTTTGAAATGTTTCTTTTAATAAATATTGTATTATACTTCAGGCTCAGGAGTCCACCTTTATTAACTTTTGTACACCTATCAAATTATTGAACAACAAAAATTGAATGACGAAAACAATTTGATAAGAAAACGAATTTAATCGATCTTACTATCCAGAAACTGACCCAAAAATTTTCTGCAAATAAGAATCAAATTAAATTAAATTAAATTAGTTAGTAAAAATTATTAAAAGTTTGTAAACAAAAAGTAATTGACTGTGTCAGTGTTCAACTGTAAAACAGAGTACTGTAAGTCGGATAAGTAGGCACGCGACTCAATAAAATTCGCATTGTATTCAGTTGTCATCTTACTAAATGCGCTTAGTACTATCTAGTTTCCACACTCTAATTTAGTCCAGTTGCGCACGCAATAAAACGCGAAAGAAAGAGAATTTACACGTGCACCAGTAATAAAACGTATTTTCGTTTTAGTACAAGTAGAACAATGCAATTGAAGGAGAAAATCTTTCAGCAAATGGATTGTAAAACTTTGTACGCCTTTTACTCGAGTGACGAATTAACGCGTCATCGTCAGTTAACAGGTTAAAGGTTCAACGATCAGCGTCCCAAAAAATGTGTTTCATGAACTCTACACTTTTGACCCGACGAATTTCGCGAAATCAAGCGACGCGTAATTCGCGATAGATCGTTCTATCGCGTAACCGCGAAATTATGTCACGCCTGAGTGTGATTCTTGTCCAAGCTGGAAGGTTACGTCATGCTGATGGTTAAAAGCAAGCATACGCTGGCATAACATATTTGGAAGATCGTTCTGCACCGAGGTCGTCGTGTAAAAATGAACATCGAGACAGATAAGACCGGTAAAGAAAAGTTCGTAATAAATCATGTTACGAGCTCGTTTATCCCATTTGCTACGGTATACGGATCGTTTAATGCTAAATCCGACTAAGGCACACTTTGGAATTAAAAATGAAATTGAAAAAGAAATAAACGAGCGATAAAACGTAAATTAATATGCACATTAATTATCTTGATCAAAACGGATTTCAAGAATACGTGAACTAATTTTGTAATTTACAATAATTAAGCTTGCCGAAGTTATTCTACCGTTTTCGTAATTTTAGTGTTAAAATGAGAGTAGGCACCACAGACGCATCTAGTGGCAAGGAACCTTGACATCCCCAAAGAAAAAAGTGAGAAAACATAAAGAAAGTTTGCTGTCATCTTTCAAGTTCAATGTTCTTTTTAGAAAAATTAATTGTATATTTCATTTACTTTAACAATATTATTGAAACTCAATATATTCTAAAATAAACGGCGAAAGTGCATATTAGTGTATGTTAAACATCCTCTGTTTCGGACTTCTCTTCATGATTAGAAAACCTTGACTTCAATTTAAGATGTTATACACGATGCTGAATTTCTATTTAGAATTTAAATAAAGGCACAGAGACTAATTACTAAATTACTTGTATTTTCATGCTTAACATTTTACTTATATTTAAGCATTTAATTTTTTCCTGTAATTGTATTATTGTCACCAAATAATCGTAATATGCAGTATATTATACTATACAGTAAAAATTATATATTGTAATACTACATTAAAAGTCTGTTCTGTTCTCTTAATTATAATAATAAAATTCTTTGTTTGAGTATAATGTACCCATCCACCGTACCTTCTCTGTTTAAATTTGAATCGTAAAAGGGGTTAAAAAACTACAGTTATTTGACCATTACGGCGAGGGTTCGATGCATCTTACGGTTCTTGGAAGCTTTGTAAAACTCTAATGCGGTCAGGATACCTTGACACGCGATTGAAAACAAGGTGACTTGTCACGACCAATCACGTAGGTGGCATAAAGTGATGCATTAATGCAACAGTGACCTTGATTTCATGTAATCTTCGACGTAGGCGGATGCTGAAGCACGGATTCACTTTTTTCTTTTGTTACACGGATCTGTTCGTTATTAAAATGTTCGATCCCGACTGACTCGAGTTACCCTGCTTCTGTTTTAAAGGAAACAGTACTGTATTCCTTGGTAAACATTCAGTTCGTGAACTCGATCCGGATTCGCAAATATTTTTACAAGGCTTTCGAACGGTTCTTGGAAAGCATGGAGAAACGGCGGCTAAGAACGAGTGTGCTTTGATGTCGTTACGCAACGGTTTAATGATTTTCCGCTTTTGTGTATTTTTAGAGATTTAGTATGATCCGTATGAATGTCCCATTTTACTGTACTGTTTACCGAGCAGTAGTGGAGTAATATTTTTTTTATAGTTGTTCATTTATAAAACGTTATGACTGCAACCAAAATACGCTTCCAGTCAGGAGTAGACTGCGGATTATTCATAGCACAAATTTAAATCTTCAAATTTTTGGCTTACAAAATTTTCTGAATTTTAAAATTGCAAAATTTGAAATTCTTTATCATTCAAATTGATGAAATCTTTATCATGAAAATTTAAGGAACATTTTGTTTTTTAAAATAATGTGATTTTATCATTAAGTTTACTTATACATTTATTTATACATTTTATACATTAGTTTTGTTTAAAACGTAGTGTAGAAAATATTTATATAAAACGTTGTATTAAAAATAAAAATATTTTTCTATTTATTTTTGACTTCTGAGAAATGTTATATGCTGAATTCTAATAAAAACCAAACAAAAGTAGATTAGTTAATTAGTAAAATAATTTTTCATTGTTTCCTAGCTGGTTAATCGTAACAGCGTTCAATTGCTTTGAGCTCGAAACTATAAAGTGTTCCAACATACCTCTAAGGTTAATGCTCCAAATTTCTAAATTCAACTTCAACCAACAAACACGTGAGCACCTGAATAACCAACAGCTACGCGAATAACCAAGGAAACACAAACCCAAGCGTTCCATTTTTTAACACGAGAGATTCTCTGCAACGTGTTCAAACCACGGGTCGTAGGCTGTGTGTACAGCTGATGAAAACGACACTGTGCAGCCATAAAATCAGCAAACCCATCTTTAACGTTTAGAAGAGAAATTTGAGAAAGACATAGCAAACTATGAAGTTGAATCTTACTTGAAATCGTGCAAAGTAGACTAGCGACTAAGGTGGTTGCTTCCTGGTTGCATGCGTGAAATGTTATTTAACTTCTAGAATTAGAAATATTACAAATCTTACTCGACTTAGAATATAGGTGTTTGCTCAACTTAAAAAAGATGGCTTTGACTCATACCCCAATGACTCATACGTAACGATTTTTATGAAACTTTTCAAGATTGTTTCTTAGACCTACCTAAGAATATAATTGTAACTTACTGGTGTCTGCTTTCTACTTTAACAGCAAAATCAAACATTTTATCTGAGCCAGCCTATCTACGAAGCTGCTCGTAAATCGTAAACAAAAATTGTGAACGGAAGATATTAAAACGTGTTTGAAACAAAAATTATACTGTTTCTTCAGATTGTGTTTCTGTAAATCAATATGCAAGGCTTTTTTGAGAAAGTAATTGTTTTGCAAAAATTAAGTTGTTTCTTAAGAATAAAAGCGTTTATTTTTACAAATTGAACGATGTATCACAGTATACATACAATTATTATAATCGTGTCTATTATTTTATGCTACTGTGTCAATTTTTACAGCAACTCATTCAACTTCATTTATATTTTACATTGAAAGCAATAATTAAGTACAATGTAAATAAAAAATATTTAAATATAATTAAAAAATTTCTCAGTTTCCAAATTTGAAAAAATTTAATTTTTTAAATTCTCCAATTTTTGAACTTCTAAGTTTTATATGTGAGTATTTGTCATAAAAATCACTTCTTCTAGAAGTTTATTGTGTTTTTAACAAGTACCGTAGACTGTCGCTGATAAAAACAAAGCAATCTGAGTAATTTTTAGTAATTAATTAATTGCAGACATTGAGTGAACATCTTTTAAGAAATACTTCTTTTTCGTTTGCTTCAGATCTGCAGAGATTCGTACAAATGCAATTGCACCGGAATAAAAGGAATTGCCGGTTTTCCTGGGATTCCTGGACAACAGGGACCGGAAGGACTTCCGGGTGACATCGGACCGGATGGACCTCCAGGTCCAAAGGGTGAAAAAGGAGCTGGCGGAGAGCTGGGTGGCACTGGAGAAAAAGGCTACAGGGTAAGTGAATGCTTCTTTCTTCTTAGTTACTAACATTTCACCAACCACTGAATTAATTAAACTATATGAGAATATATTTAATTGTCCAGACATAATTTGCGGCTTTACATCTAGTTATTTCGTTTAATATTAAATTATTCGGTCAAAATAACATCTATTATGGTATGTCCGGAGATGTCCGGATATATGGCCGCGACTCTGTCCCTTTATATGTATAATTACAAGCTGACGTCACCAATTTTTAATGTTCATTTTGGATAAACTATTGAATTATCGAAACAAGAACAATGTAATATTTTTAGATTTTTGTTATATCGATACAAGATGATGTTAATTGAATTATCGAGATTCGTACTATCAAAATAATACCAAATATGACTACTGTATCAACTTTGCCATTATTTTTAAATTGAATGACTAATACTTTTATTGAGAAAGTGGGAGTGATGCCAATGGTATAATATATATGTTCATTTCAAATTGATCTGTATTTACAACATTTAATACAAATTATAACATAAAAAGAGAAAAATTAAGAATAGGAATAAATAATAACAACGGAAACAATGATATCAAAAGAATATTTACTATTTCATGTAATTAAATTAATGAAATGAATATAAGTAGAAGCAATGGGGAAAAATTAGGAGACAAACTAGATAAAATAGAATTAATAGTAAAAGTACGAAAGAGAATTGAAAAAAAAATGAATATAATGTGTAAAAAAATTATTTTTTATTGAAATAGACTATCAAAATATTCGTATGATCGACTTTATATTTATTTTAGATTTATTTCAGTAATGATATAAAAAAAAGTACAGAGCTCTATTTTGTGTTAAGTTTAAATAGTAATTTTGGAAATATTTGATTTCAGTACCTAAACATAGAAATCACTTGATAAAGTTTTTTACTAATTATGTTCTTTGAGTAATGTTTCGATTCAGACTGACATATAAAAGTAATTGTCGTCAAATAATGTCAGCAAGTTTTTGGAAATCTGTTTCTCCAGATATAGCCATGCACAAGCGACCATATATCTAGGCATCATTGTCTTTTCCATTGTATTACAAGTCTTTTCATCCTATGATAATTAGTACATCTAAATATAAATATAATCGCAATACAAATACAATCAACCGCATATGTGTTCCTCCACCTATCATACCCTCAATATGTTTGGTAAATAAAAACAAAGTACGTTCATGATATTGCAATAAAATGAGTACGAATTAAACTCAATTAATATACAATAAAGTAACAGTTAATTAGAGTTTAAATTATTGAAATTTTGAGCTAACTGATCAAATATTAATTTTCTACAGAAATTAAAAACTAAATATTTTATTAAATGTTAGAACATTCAGAATTATTTAATATAGTTCAGTTTTAGATTCTCTATATTAATGTCGTTTCATACTTATGTTTTCTACATTGATAGTGCGATAAATATTAAATCGTATTATGCAACAATTACATACGCATGTAACATTACATATGTATGTTTAACCGTGTTTTATAATAATAAATTCATTAATATCGAATGCTTGTGCATATACAATTTACACCGAAATGTTCAATACCCTTAACAAAATGGCAATATAAAAAAAAAGAGTTCTTATCATTCCTTGCATTTTAGTTGGTACATTTTCATTCTTACAAAATTTTTAATTTCGAAATTTTCAAAAACTTTGAATGCTTACCTTTTCCGAATGTATATAAAACTGTCGCAGTTAAATAAATTTTGTAAATATTTATATACTTAAGTTTCAATTCAGTTCATAATCGATAAACAGTACTTATTTAGCGAGATACAGGGTTTGTCCAATAAGTATCCGGATTGATGTCCTAAAATGAAGTGCGTTGAAGATATACGTACATTGAGTTAATAATCTTCAAAGTATGCCCCTCCTGCATCAATACACCGTTGCCAGCGGGTTTTCCATTGTTTATACGCTTCCTAGAAGTCGGCAAGCGTAAGACTGTTCAGGCACTCCGTCGAAGCCGCTTGAACCGCCTCAATCGTCCCAAAACGATGTCCTTTAAGGCTTCTTTTAATGCGAGGGAACAGAAAAAAATCAGAGGGTGCCATATCTGGACTGTAGGGTGGTTGGGGTAGTGTTGTGATGTTATGCTTCGTCAATATCTGTCTCACAATTAACGACGTGTGACTTGGCGCGTTGTCGTGATGGAGCATCCAGGAATTCGCGATCTCCCTTCGTACGCGGCGTACTTTAAGTCTCAAACGTTCGAGCACTTCTGCGTAAAATTGGCCATTCACTGTTTGTCCAGCAGGCACAAACTCCTTGTGGATAACACCTTTTGCGTCAAAGAAGACAATAAGCATCGATTTTATCCTTGACTTGCTCATGCGAGCCTTTTTCGGTCGAGGAGAGCCGCTTGTGTGCCACTCAGCACTTTGCATTTTTGACTCCGGATCGTATTCAAAAATCCATGTTTCGTCACCGGTAATCACTCTGTCTAAAAGATTTGAAT